CTTTTTCGCATCGGTTTTTCACCCTCCCAAAAGGATCACACTGTCAGAAAGGACACAAACCATCCTGGGAGCAGGTGATGGGCCCAAAATTGATGTGGATCAGGTGAGGGAACACCCTGAGAAACTGGACATTCACAAGTCCGTGGGCCCAGATGGAATGCACCTGGAGTCTTGAAAGAGCTGACAGACATCATTACATCCCCCTTGGCAAAGATATTTGAAAATTCATGGTGCTCAGGCGAGGTCTCAGAAGACTGAAAAAGAGCCAGTGTGGTCCCTATCTCCAAGAAAGGGAAGAAGGATGACCCAGAGAACTATAGACCAATCAGACTGACATCTGTCCCTGGAAAAATCCTAGAGAAAATTGTCAAGGGATCCATCAAAATCAGACTAATGGAAGGCAAGCATCTGAATGCCAGCCAACATAGCTTTGTGACTGGCAGGTCTTGTCTGACCAACCTCATCTTCTTCTATGTCCAGGGCACATGTTACCTGGTTAAGGGAGATGATGTGGATGTCATATCTAGATTTCAAGAAAGACTTTGGCCTAGTTCCCCATGATGTCCTCATGGTTAAGCTGTGGAACTGTGGCCTTGATCATCTTATGGTCCAATGGCCAAGTAACTGGCTACGGGGTCAGACCCAAAGAGTACTAGTTGACGGGAGCCGATCAACGTGGTGCAGGGTGACCACTAGAGTCCCTCAGGGCTTGCTACTTGGGCTGGTACTCTTTAACATTTTCATTAACCATGTGGATTCGGGAGTCAGATGCGAACTGGGAAAGTTCATGGATGACACCAAATTATGGGGGAGGGTGGTCACACTGCAGGACAAGCTGGGGATACAGGCTGACTTGGACTTTGACACGCTTTCAAGGTCAGCTGACCAAAACCTGATTGTCCCGGGAAAGAACAGGAGAGAGAGGGGACAAACGGGAAAATTAAAGGAAAAAACCACTTACCTGCAGCAGGAGCCGCAGCACAGCAGGAACAAGAAGAAAAGCCTGTGTGGCTCTATTAGCCACACCTTTATTCAGCTGGGGCCGGCTGGTGATGTCACCAGCAATTGCCGGCCGGCAAAAATAAAAAATGGCAGATGGCAGGAGGAGCAGAGGAGAGGGAACAGACTGAAGCAATGTGCGGACTCTGAACCCGCTCCAGGAACCCTCTAGGAGGGGAAACGGGTCAGACGAGGAGTCAGGAAAGGCTCCTGGTCTTAAGCCCAGAAGCAGTTGCAGCAGACAAGCCACCAGCATGGGAAGCCGGGTGGAACCAGTCCCTGTGGTCTGAAACATCAGAAACAACAGGAACACCACAGAAAGGCATGCCAGAACCTACAGTACAGCAGGTGGGGGTATTGGGCACAGTTGGGAGGAGGGGGAGGTGACCCCTTTGGAAGGAGCTCAGCAAGAGCCCAGGGAGGGCATCGGGCAAGCAGGGCACCTACGTCGCATATAAAAGGGGTGATCAACCCTGTGTAGGGACATTACAGATCAACTGGAGGGGAGGATGCCGCAGGAGAGAGAGAAGTGTGGCAGACAAGGCTCATGAAAGGAACAAGGATGGCAAAGCGGACAACCTTTACAGGCGCATACTAGGATTGTTCTAGTAAGGAGGAAGTTCTCCCCGGCGATATTACAGAGGAACAAAGCTAACGTGACCTCTGCGTGAGGAAGCAAGGAAGGGAACTTTCCTGATTCCCAGGGTAGAGACAGAGGTAGTGTCTTGTGTTTTCTGTTAGGTTTTTTCCTTTTTGTTTCCCCGGGTGAAGGGGTTAAGAGAGAGAGAGCAGAGCCCACAGGGCGTCAGGGGACGATTTCAACCTGAGGGCTGGAGTGCTCGGGACAAGGGCAGGTTCCACGAGCAGGACCTCCTGTCACAGAGGACCTGCGAAGGGGGTAAGCTGAGCAGGCTCCAAGAACCACACACTGACAGGAGGAAATCCTAGAGGTGCCATAATCGTAGGAATGAGGGGACGCAGCCGGGAACATGGCGGGATCCACCAAGGAGGCGTGAGGCTGGGGTGTAGGGATGGTGGAGCCCTGTGAGTGACCGTTGGGCAAACCGTGGGCCACAGAGGGACCCAGGATAGTCAACCCCCCCACTGGGAACATTCAAAGTCATGGCAGGCTAGATAGGGGAAGACGACTCCTGGAGTGACCAGCAACTCTGCCAATCACAGGAGCCGGGAAGACGTACGGCACCCATCTCTCGGTCTAAGGCTGCACATGACAGGGTGTTGGAAACTCGGTGGTCACACTGATGGCCTTCAATGTAGAGAACTGCAAGGTGCTGCACTTTGCCTTCAACAGACTTACAGGCTTGGCAGTGCTACACTTGCTAGCACCACAACCGAAAGAGACTTGGGTGTCTTGATTGACCACAAGATGAATATGAGCCACCAATGAAATGCTGTAGCTGGTAAAGCAAACCAAACTCTGGTGTGCATCCACTAATGCATCTCAAGCAAACCCAGAGATGTCATCCTCCCACTTTACTTGGGCCTGGTGAGACGGCAGCAGGAGTACTGCATCCAGTTTTGGGCCCCCCACTTCAGGAGGGATGTGGAAAAGCTTGAGAGAGTCCAGAGGACAGCCACTTCTATGATCCAAGGCCTGGAGGGCAGGCTGTATGAGGAGAGGCTGAGGGACTTGGGACTTTTCAGTCTGGAAAAGAGAAGGGTCAGGGGGCACTTGGTAGTAGCCTACAATTATATAAGATGGGTTCACCAGGATCTGGGAGAACAGCTGTTCACCAGAGCTCCCCAAGGGATAACAAGGTCTAACAGCCATAAACTCCAGGAAGGCCGATTTAGATTAGACGTAAGAAAAAAGTTCTTTACAGTGCAAGTGTCTGGGGTGTGGAACAGACTTCCTCGCCCCCCCCTCGAAGTGGTGCAAGCACTTACTCTGGACTCTTTCAAAAAACGTGGATGTTTTCCTTGCTGGGGTCATTTGATCCCAGCTGACTTCCTGCCTATGGCGGGGGGACTGGACTTGATCTCACAATGTCCCTTCCAGCTCCTAATGTCTATGAAATCACTCACTGTGTGTCTGGTTTTTGTCTAGTCCCCTGGTCCCCATGGAGTGTTGCCAGTTTTGCAGTGTAGGACTAATCTGGCTTACCCTATATGGCACACATGCAGGTTCTACTCACTTTGCACCCCTGGTCCTCTACTCTCCATCCAAAACATTCAGTCAAGTATCCCAGTAATACATAAGTATCATGGTCAAGTATTCCCTTCAGCACAGGCATAACATGAGAATGAGGAGATAAAGATACAGTTGAAAAAGGAATCTGGAAGAGAGGGAGAAGAGTGGCACAAGGGATCCATAGAAGGTAAGAAGGAGGAGGGAAGGGCAGAAACCAAGAGGGGAAAGGACAAGAAGAGAAAGAAGAGAACAGGACAGGAGAAGAGGACCAAAGAATAGTGTGTGCAGAGGGAAGAGACTGGAGGCCCCCAGAGACTGCCTGACCAACAGAACAGAACAGGGGAAGAGAGAACAATAGGGGCTAAAATGGAGATTAGAATAAAAGGAAATAGACTGAATATACAATAATCACAAGAAATGGATTAAAGGACTAAGGAAAAGAGATATAAAATGAAATGACAGGAAAACATCAAGAGCATTAGAAATGTAACCAGGGAGAAGAGACAGGAGAAAGAGAGAACTGGGGGCAGATGAAAGGGAAAAGGAGAGAATCTAAGAGATCAATGAGAAAGTCAAGCTGACTACAGTACTTAATAACACTTGGTTGTGTGTGCAAATAGCATGACTTACCCAAAGGGATGCAAGCTGGGAGAAGGAAAGTGGACATCATGTTTATTATGGTTCACACACAAGGTTATACAGCTTTCATAACACTGGCCCACTTCAACTAAAATGGTACAATTCTCTTTATGTGGCTGCACTCCTATCATTCTAAATTAAGGGCAGGCAAAATATGGGCCACAGGCCACATCTGGCCTGCCGACTGATTCTGTCCAGCCTGTGGATAAGTTTTGGGTAGACCTGTATCATGTTGGTTAGGATGTTAATATGTGCTATTTTGATTATGTATAGAAACAACACAAAGAAACCTTGATACTATAAATGCCATAACAATTTTAAGTATAGCTAGTGTTAAACATGATTCATTTTATGTGTGCAGCCCTCAAGAGCTCACTAAAACTCTGTAAGTGGCCCTCCAGCCCAAATAGTTGCCCACCCCTGGTCTAAATACTAACAGTTTACTCCTGCATTAGAGAGGAAATAAGCTACACTGATATAAGCAACCTGTATGCCAATCTAACTGAGGCTCATTAGGAGTTATAAATATATAACTAAATATATTTAGTATAAATATTTCAGTTAAAAAAAGTATAAATATTTCAGTAAAAAAAGTAACACCCCCTATATCAAATAATGATGCCAGTAGGAAACTAAGTATAAGCTGCAGAGTCAGGAAAGGCAGGGCTTGATCCAAATTTTGTACAAAAAATAGTGTGAAGCTCATAAGCCCTCAGAAATTGCCTTAAACCAATGTATCTAGTGTTGAGCTCAAACAATTTCAGCCTAGTGCTCAGAATCTTTGATAAGTCTAATCATGTGAGAAATTTCAACTGCGCAGATGTCATGAGTTGTAAAACAGAAAATCTGCTGGATGATTTCAGTACTGAAATCTTGACTACAAGTCAAAATTTTTAACAAGACCCTTCACAGATGGATAAAAACAAGTTAAAAATTGACATTAAAATGCACTCTCACAAATTTAGTTCTACAGTTGCCAGTCATGAGATTTTCCAGTTTTCTGAACTGAGGAAGAATTAAAAACAGCATGTCTCACAAAACAAAGCTACATTCCCTGCCTCTATGTGATGTTTTGTGTGTCAGACCCCAGAGATAGGATACTCACAGGTTTTCGAGTTGGTGTGACTTGAACAGAGTGGTAAAATTCAGGCTGAACTCGGCTGCTTTTCTTGATTTTTCTTTTCCTGACAGAAGTTTCTTGCTCGCTTAGGTGATGAGCTTCCACTAGAGGCTGTGTTTCTTCAAGGCGAGGTGCTACACGTCTTCTAGCATGACGAGGACTTGATCTAAAACCCTGTGACATAAGAAAAGCAATGGTAATGTCTGATAATTCTCAAAATGCAGGGCATAATGACAAACGTATTGGGAAGGATCTTATTTAAAAGACTAGCACTATAAATGTAGCCTGGTTAAAAATTTATAAGTTAAGGGGCATTGTTAAGTTGTAGCATCACATTTACTTACAGCTCTTTTTATACCTAGATTATATATTTATTATAGGTACAGCTGGCAGTGATAGCTAGTGTTGCATCCCATTATAAGTCCATGCTCAGTTGATCATAACTTCGCCAAATGTTATGTATTAAGACTAAAAAAATTCAACACATGCTCTCCCTCAGACTGAATTATTCCAGAGAGCTTAAGCAAAAGATGGATCAGTCTTTTTTTTTTTTTTTTTT